CACCGTTTGAGTCTTCTCAACAGATAGAAAGCACAGGAGTGCAATAGATCCAAAACTATATATTGAAGGATAATGTTTCATGAAAACATCCAACCCTAAGTATCTGGGAATAACTCTAGATGCCGAATTGAGATTCACTGAGCATGTGAAGACAGTTTCCGAAAGAGCTCAAAAATCATCAGAAGTCTTTGCGGCGCTGACTGGGCAGCTTCTCCCACAACCTTAAAGACCACATATACCTCACTCATTAGACCAATTATGGAGTATGCCTCACCGATCTGGGTGCATGCCTCTGATACCGCCCTAAACAAGTCGGAAAGCGTACAAGCGAGAGTTGCAAGGATAATAACCGGCGCAGTGTCTTCCACCAACAATGGCAAGATAATCAGAGGTTGCGATCTGGAAAATCTTCAAAAGAGAAGGAAAATAACTATGATAAGGTTCACCAACAAAGCACGAAGTCGCGTACCTAAACATATTTCCCGAATCACCTTCGAAGAATGGAATGCCAAGATATAACTGAAAAGATCTTCACCCATGCAATACAATAGAGATATCAGAGCAATCGTAGGCTTTGAGCACAACAAATATGTTATTCTACAAGAACCAATCTTCCACAAAAGGCTTCCACTGAACACAACTATCCACACTGACCTCTTGGAGCCATGCAATAAAAACGAAAACAATGACATCATTAAAGAAAAAGGACTCAGGACAATTGAACTGTTACCAAAAGAGAACTTTGAACATGCATATACATATGGTTCCTTTGATAAAACTATCACAAATGAAGGCTCCGGAGTGTTTTTTAACTACTTTAAGTAATTCCCCTCAACAAGGTAAATTTGGAGCAGGTGCCTTAGCCTCTAACTTCACCTGTGAGCTACGGGCAATTTTGGAGGCCCTTAATATGTATAAAACCCTTCCCACCTCTGAGCAAGCAAAGGGCCTTGTTATCTTCTGCGACTCGAAGGCCACCCTCCAAGCAATTTTAAAAGAGGACTCTTCTATCACCCAAGAAATCACTTCAAATCTTCATGATCTTCAGGATTTAAGCAGAACCTGTACTTTTCAGCGGACACCAGCACTCGTTGACATTGCAGGCAATGAAAATGCAGATAAATTAGCCAAGGAAGTCAGAATTCTCAACATTAATGACTGTAACGTCTCAATTCAAGATGCAAATGCAATTGCTATATCTAAACTAAGTGAAAAATCAATTCCAACGAAACACATGATTTGTAATATAAATGCAGATAGAGCTACAACAAAAACTACAGCCAGGCTGAGAACCGATCACCACAGAGGCATGAAGATCGACAGAGAGGGCAGGAAAGTATATAGGAATTGTGAAAACTACCCAGATACACAGCAGGCACCATGCCACATCTTTAAGTGTCCAGTAATGAGTGCTAATCTGAGAGAAATAGGAGTCTTGCAGTCATTGATTGACCTTTATGACGATAACATCAACCAAATCGCAGAAGCAATAATCAAGACTCATGGAAGCATTTGATTCGGCTATGTCATAGATAGATGGAGGGGAAGACCACGAGAACCTCCCACGGTTAGCCTGATCACAAAAGGGACTCTAACCCATGATCCGTCTACCACTAAGAATATTTCAAGTCAGCATTGTGGTTGGTGCAAGCCGGATGCGGATTCATATGAGGTTGGTGCAAGTCGATTGCGGATTCGGTCGCGTATTGTCCTGCTATCGGTGGGATTCGAACCCGGGTGACCACATTGGAAGGTGAACGCTCTATTATCTGAGACATCACGGCTTCATTTAAGCTTTTAATTTATTTTTAGAATGGTCTGATTTTGTCTGTAAAGATTTATGATGACAGCGAGAGACGCGATGGCTCAGGGGGTAGAGCATTTGCCTCAGACTGAGGCGAACCAGGTTCGAATCCCAGTCGATACAAATTCCGCATCCGGTGGAATTTGTATCGGAATTTGTCGGAATATCGGAATTTGTATCACGCCAGCACTGTGGTCGGTGTAAGCCGACAGTGCTGGCGTGAAATATCCTCAGCGGTAAGGGGATCATAGGTTAGAGTCCCCTTGCCGTTAGGCTAACCGTGGGAGGTTCTGGTGGTCTTCCTCTCCATGTAACTCAAATGTGGGCTAGCTCCATCAAAAAGTCCTCCATGAAGGCAAATTTCTCCCAATACTTTATCCAGGATTTCCTATGTTTTCTAGATTGGTTTCAAAATTAAAAGGCTGCGGAGTCGATCATTAGTAGTCGTAAACCCATCAAATTGGGTCGGCTGTTCAACGACAGTTATAAAAATAAAAAAATAAAATATGACGACAGCCAATATGGTTGCTTTGAAATCACCCAAAATGTCTGCCTTTGAGAAACAGTTGTTTTTTAACATGAGATTTTATAAAGCTAATGATAAAGTAAGGATTTCAGCATCAAAATTTGACCTGTAACACCCACACGTGCATACTGTAAGAAGAGTTTACGCCGGCTACAGCATTATCTTTTACCTCAAAGCCGTCTGAGTACAATCTCAGCCATTCGGATTCAGGATATTGTTCATATGACATGCACTACACGTGTTTGTGTCAGACATGTCTTTCCAACCCAATTATTAATATCTGTAGTCCCTGACCAAATTATTAGACGCACTATAAGATTCTATGTAAAATCTTAATTATCAGGTGATACTATACAGCTTTATTGTTTTTACGCGGTTTGAATTTTTTGCGTTCGTGTATCAATTGGTTAACGTTGTAAAGCAATACGAAAATGCAATTTAAAATAAATTCTACTAGGAAGTATATAAAAAATCTCCCGAATAAAAACCCTTTACATGTATGTTCAAATATACAAGTATTGCATATAAATTCGTGCAAAACATGTATTTACTTAAAAATTACATTTCGTCCAATAATTTGGTCTAATTATTATATAATATGCTAATATAATACCTCATATATTAAATATTCTATGTTTATATAATATATCGTCTGATTTATCCAATCGTCGAATTTATATTAAATAAATAAATTTATATAAATAAATTCTACTAGGAAGTATATAAAAAATCACCCGAATAAAAACCCTTTACAAGTATTGCATATAAATTCGTGCAAAACATTTCATTACTTAAAAACTACATTTCGTCTAATAATTTGGTCTAATTATTATAATATACCAATATAATACCTCATATATTAAATATTCTATGTTTATATAATATATCGTCTGATTTATCCAATCGTCGAATTTATATTATGTATCGTCTAATGTAACCAATGGATACACGAACGTAAAGAAGTGCAAACCGGTTTCAGCCTCGTAAAAACAATAAAGCTATATAGTATCACCTATTAATTAAGATTTTACGTAGAATCTTATAGTGCATCGAGTTATTTGGCCAGAGACAATAGTGGGTTCTCAATATCCATATATTCAACTACTAACCAGCAGCTAGTTGCAGTCTATTGGTTTGTTAGCATTTTTTAGCGTATTTTTTTTTTTTTTACAAATTTGTATAAGAGAGATTTTAGTTTTTAAAAGTCTTGTTTTGCATTCATTTTTCCCTTGTGCTCTTTTCATTTATATCTATTTCCTGTTTCTTAATTTCTGTGGCTATATAACTTATTTGTTTGAGGTTATATGAAATAACTAGTAATATAACTTATATAACGTGTTTTTTACATGTTATGGACCTCATAATGTATTGAATTCAATTCAATCAACTCTATATACACTCAAAAATAATAGAGAAAAAAACTTTTCTTTTTATATGCTTCATTTTTTTCACGTGTGAGGGGTAGTGGTTAATGTACACAGTTTTTATAAATTGGCAAAAGCCGTGTACTAATCATCAATTTTAACATGTTCAGCCTTTTTTAAATAAATTTCTAACCTTTATTTTTGTTTGAGATGGTTCATAAGCTTTTTTGAACGTTTATTTTATTTCAAATGGTGCATAATCTTATATAGGCGTTTATTTTATTTCAAATGGGGCATAACCTTAATTGAACGTGCGCTTTTTAAAATGCAATTTTAACTAAAAAAAAGTGTTTGTCAACATTAGCCTTATGACTATGACTTGTGGGAATAAAAATGTGTTGTAATTTAATTTATTTAATAGAGTGTAGTAGTTTGAAATTTAATTAAGTATTTATTTAGTAGAATAATATTAGTTAAATGGAATTCGGCTTTTATATTTCTTTTAAATTTTGAAAATCAATGTTAAATATTAATTGAGAGATAGGTCATTTACTGAATTTAGTATTAATACGTGTTACAACTACTATAAAAAATAAAACACTACATATAATCAAGATTTTAAATTAAAACAAAAAATAACGTGCATTAAAATATTAGCTTTGCCCAAAGTTTGCATTTTATAAAAATAAGTGTAATTTAATAAATAAAAATTTAAAAACTAAAAATTTAATAAATTAGTTATTTTGCAGAATCCATTTAATTTCGTAAAATAAAATTATATTTATCAATTTGCTAGTAATTAACNTTATTTGTTATTTGTTTGTTTATATCAATTATTTAATTAACTTGTAAATGAAAATTTGTCATATGTACATTTATAAGAAACAGAATATCTCAGTTTTTTTTAAAAAGTAATGCTTTAAAATAGTCTAAAGTTGAAGTTAGGTAGCATTAAGAAGCGAATTAAGGATTTACCTTTCTACTTCAAAACCTTTTTTAAAATTAGCATAAAAGTGCGCTTTCATACAACTGAATGCGAAATTGTAAAACAGTTTTGTTATTCTGTTAAAACAAATTTTTAGACGAATTTCGAGTAATAATTAACAGAGTCATTCCAGATCTTGTATAACTATTATACGTTCATTATTTTAAATTATGTAATTTTCGCTGACGATAATTAATATATTAAAATTGTAAAAAAATGGTGAGTAAAAATGATAATAACATTGTTCTTTTCACACAATATTTGCATAAAATCAAAATCAAAACTAAAATAATTTTAAATAATTTCACGCAATCAGACTTTTGAAACATTTTAATTTCTCCAATACTATCTACAAATTAAAAGTATTCAAATTGACAAAAGTAGTTGCATTTATTCATTTTCTTCCAAATCCACCTCCACCTCCACCATTGGCACCCGCATTTGCTCCAAGTCCAAATCCCAGATTTGCTCCCATATTTGCATTTGCACCTGCTCCTCCTCCTGCTCCTGCTGCTCCTCCGGCTCCGGCTCCGCCATTTGCTCCTATTCCACCACCAAATCCCATATTCATTCCAGCTCCAACATTCCCAGCCATTTGACCCAATGCATCTAATCCAGGTATTCCAGCAGGCATTCCAGCAGGCATTCCGCCGGGCATTCCAGGGAATTGAGGAGCTCCATGCACTGTTATCACAAAAACAGTAGAAAGGAGAAGTACCTGAAAAATAATATGTCACTACAATATAGGCTTCGTCAATAAATGTCCTTAAACACCGCTGCTCTTAATATTTATATATTTAGAATCCCTGTCAAAAGGGAATTAATGAAGTTTAAAATTTATATTATATATAATAGTTATAATATTATATTATATATAACATTTATATAATAGCTATTTGATATGAAGGCGAAAGTAAAAAAACTTTAAGAACGCAAACCAATCCCAAATTAGTTCAGTTCACGCAAAATAGTGATTAAAGTTATCTAAACTTAATTCATTTCCCGGTGACACTGACAGGATAACGTAATGAGACGTGTATGCATTTTAAATAACTAAACTGGCTTCTGATAATTTTAATTCATCCCTTTGCTGTTTCTAGCCTTAATAACGAATGGCAAACACTGACTTTTCTGACTTTAATCTTGATTTGTACATAGTTTTAGATGATTCCTAAAAATTAGTTAAAGGAACTGACGTGAAATATCCTCAGTGGTAGACGGATCATGGGTTAGAGTCCCCTTGCCGTCAGGCTAACCGTGGGAGGTTCTAGTGGTCTTTCTCTCCATGTAACGCAAATGCGGGTTAATTCCGTCAAAAAGTCCTCCACGAAGGCAAATTCCTCCCAATACTTGATCCACGAGTTCCTTCTCTTCTGAATTGGGTTCAAAATTACAAGACTACTGAGTTGAATATTAGGAGACGTAAACCCATAAAATTTGGTCAGCTGTTCAACGACGGTTATAAATAAATATAAATGCACTGTGTCTTTATTATATTAATAGATATTTTGAGATATTGTAGCTCAAATCAAAATTCGTAACGAAAAGATATGATTTTTGCAGTTTCATATTTTCTGTTTTACTCCTTTAAATAAAAATAAATTTATAAATTCGAAGAATAAACGAGTTATTATTGCGTATATTTAGAAATATGGTACTTGCTTTTGACCGTTTTTCTTTCCTTTTTTATCCCTTTAATTTTTTATTTATTTTCTTTTGGGGGGGGGGGCTTTCTTTCTTAAATTGTGTGAAATGACGAAAACAAAACTTATTGAATAAACAATTTACAAGAAATAAGAATAATTGAAAATGTCTAAAAATTGCTACAAATGTACGCCTTTCTTTCCGCATTTAAAGAAACTAATGAAAGAATAATAAATATTTCTTCTACAGCGAAACTAAAGAAAAAATTCGTTATATCTCATTTGATTTGTTAAGAGCATGTCAGTATAAAACGAGCCATTTTTAGCGTTTCAATCGAATCCAATGCTTTTGCAACGTCATATTTCTTATCCAAGACCAAATGTTTTCCTTATTTATCAAATCTGTCTCCAAGTCTAGGATTCCAATAACACTGAATAATTCTATAATATATATCGTAAAATATAACGTGAATTAAATTTCTGCCTGACATGTTTAACTTTTTAAAAGCATTTATATTGTTTTGAAAGCATATTTGCATAATTTGATAACGAAGTAAAACGGAACTATATATAGTCATAGATATAGGTGCAAAACAAATACATCTGGCCTCTTATCAAGTTTTACTGTCAGTAACGAATTAGAAATGTTTTTGAAGTGTTGACAAATCCAGTGGGAAAAAAGCATAAAACTAAATGATTTTAAAAAATTTTAATAAAAAAAAGCAACTTTTTTATGTGTTTGCACGAAAAAGTAAAGTATAAAATCTATTAAATATAATTCTCTTACGTGGCTCCCAAATTTTGGCTGTATTTCTTTTCCGCCGGTGGCAACGTTTGCTTTGTTTTGAAAACACCAAAGCATTCTGCCTTTTAATGATGTGTTTCTGATCTAATATATATAATTCTCTTACGTGGCTCCCAAATTTTGGCTGAAGTACTTTGTACAACTAAATAAGATTCTTTTCACAACAGTTAAATATTTACTTTATTNTCGTGAGAGAACACCGAGAGTCAAACTTTAATAAATAAACCAATATTCTTAATGAATTAAATAAAATTAGGAAAAGTTTACAACATTTTTGAGGAATATTATCAATAAAAAAAGAGTTTATTAAACTACAAAGTTTCTAGAAGCCAGCACGTTATCGAACGGAAGTTTTTATTTTATTTTATAACAGTCGTTGAACAATCTACCCAATTTTTGTGCTTAGGACTAATTGCTCAGTAGCCTTGTAATTTTGAACCCTATCCAGAAGACAATGGGAACTCCTGGATCAAGCATTGGGAGAAATTCACCTTCGTATAAGACTTTTTGATGGAACTAACCCGCATTTGCGTTACATAGAGAGGAAAACCGCGAAAAACTCCTATGGTTAGCCCGACTGTAAGGTGCACTTAAACTATTAACACTCAACATACTGCAGTAGTGGCAATAGCACTGGTGGCATGGGGACTCTAACCCATGATCTGTCTACCACTGAGGATATTTTATGTCAGCACTGTGGTCGGTGTGAGCCGGGTGCGGAATTCATATCGACCAGCCATCGCTGGGATTTAAAACCAGTTCACCTCATTAGGAGGTGAACCCTCTATCCCCTGAGCCAACACGGCTCGTCGAATGGAAGTTAGCGATAAACCTTGCATGCTTTTAAATTGTCGACTCAAAAAATAAAAGAAATATCCCGTTTTGTGATAATATGCGCATTAATGTTTTATATAACACAAGAAAGCTCCACCCCCTGTTCGTTGCGCTCACCAACCCTTGAAGCTGCTTTCTCAGCTCTCCGGATCACTTCTAATCTTTTCGGATCACTTCGCAATCCGAATCCAAAATTGCGCTGCTGGCGCTTTGAATACGAATGAGTTTTAATCTAACTTGAAATTTCAGTTTTCAATTCTACGCGAAGATGAAATTTTATCGACTTAGTGACAATGCACAGTGTTTTATATAATATTGATAGATATTGAGATATTACACCTCAAATCAAAATTCGTAACGAAAAGAAATGATTTTTGCAGTTTCATATTTTCCGTTTTACTCCTTCAAAAAAATAAATAAATTCGAATAAACGAGTTGTAATCGCGCATATTTAGAAATATGGTACTTGCTATTGACCTTTTTTTTCCATCTCTTTAATTTTTTTTTAATTTTTTTTTTTTGCTTTCTTTCTTAAATTGTGTAAAATGACGAAAACAAAACTTATTGTATAACCAATTTACAAGAAATAGGAATAATTGAAAATGCCTAAAAGTTGTAACAAATGTAAGCATTTCATTCCGCATTTAAAGAAACTAATGAAAGAATGATAAATATTTCTTCTACAGCGAAACTAAAGAAAAAAATTCGTTATCTCTCATTTGATTTGTTAAGGGCATGTCAGCATAAAACGTGCCATTTTTAGTGTTTCAATCAAATTCAATGCTTTTTCAACGTCATATAGTTGTTTCTTTTCCAAGACCGAATGTTCTACTTATTTATCGAAAATATGTAGCCAAGTCTAGGATTCCAATAGCACTAAATAATTCCATGATATATATCGTGAAATATAACGCGAATTAAATTTCTGCCTGACGTGTTTAACTTTTTAAAAGCATTTATATTGTTTTGAAAACATATACTTGCATAATTTGATAATGAAGTAAAATGGAACTATATATAGTCATGGATATAGATACAAAACAAATACATCTGGCCTCTTATCAAATTTTACTGTCAGTAACGAATTAGAAATGTTTTTGAAGTGTTTACAAATCTAGTGGAGAAAAAGTAAAAAACTAAATAATTTTAAAAAATTTTAATAAAAAAAAACAGCTTTTTTATGTATTTGCACGAAAAGGTAAAGTATAAAATATTGAATACTAACTTATAAGAATGAAGTTCATATAGTCTCAGTAAATTTTCTAAGTATTAAGTTCATTTGAAATAAAATTTATCTTAAAATGTTGATAGAATTTTCGATAATATTTTTAAAGAAAGAAGGTGAAAAGTGTTTAATTTGTGACATTATAGGTATTCGTATTCGTTAAGATAAACTTTTTTATGTAATATTGTCTGGAAAATTATTACACTTAATATTTTATTTCTTAATTTTTCTTACAAAACCATAGAAAAAATGCTGATCTTTTTTTTAAAATTATTAATATTTTATTAATTTATTTTTTTATTAAATTTCTCGTAGCCTATTTTAATATTGCTCAAGATTTGGTTCACGCTTTTTCTAAAATTCAATGGCTTTATGATAAACGATTTTATGTAGCTTAAACACATAGTTTTCTGTAAAGGCTACCCATAATGCATATTTTTAGCGAGCTTTCTTTAAATAATGTTAATTGTGAATTAAATAATGAGAAAATTAATTATGGTAAGGATAATAGGGATATTTGTTAGATAAAATATAGTTTGGAAATTAATTATGTGAGAGGTAACTGAGGAATTACTTATAAAGGGGAAAATTAGGATTTTAATTATAAAAAGNAAATTCGTGCAACGCATTTTAAGATAAACTTTTATATGAAATAATGTCTGGAAAATTATTACACTTAATATATTATTTCTTAATTTTTATGACAAAACCATAGAAAAGTTGCTGACCTTTTTTTAAATGTTTTAAAATTATTAATATTTTATTAATTTATTTTTTATTAAATTTCTCGTAGCCTATTTTAATATTGCTCAAGATTTGGTTCACGCTTTTTCTAAAATTCAATTGCTTTATGATTAAACAGTTTTATGTAGCTTAAACACATAGTTTTCTATAAAGGCTACCCATAATGCATATTTTTAGTGAGTTTTCCTTAAATAATGTTAATTGTGAATTAAATAATGAGAAAATTAATTATAGTAAGAATAATACGGATATTTGTTAGATAAAATATAGTTTGGAAATTAATTATGTGAGAGGTAATTGGGAAAATAATTATAAAAAGGAAAATAAGGATTTTTATTATAAAAAGTACATTAATTAATGAGAGATATTAGGATCAGTTATATAAGGGATAAAAAAGAAATTTATTATGTAAATGATAATGGAGAAATTAGTTAGAAGAAGATAATTTACCAATTTACTTCTGGAATAAAAAAAAAGCCTTTTGTGCTCTTTTTTTAATATTAGCTTGAAAGATAAAATAATTATTTAATTGTTTTTAACTATTTTTCTTCCTAACAATTGATTAACAATTGATTGATATGATGAAGTCAATTAATGAGATATTGATTAACATCAATACATTTGAAGTAACTGATAGACAACATAATGATAAGTCACGTTTTCAAATTATTCATTAGTACCTTTTTCAAAATTGTTTGTGATTAAAACAAGAACTCTACGATTTCCATGCAGTTTATAAGATCTTTCTGAGTATTATGCTGATATTTAGTAAAAAATTTAAAAACTTCTGAATTACCTATCAGAAAACATCATTCGTTATCATTTAAAAAAATATATAATAGTACGTAAAACACTAGTAAACAATATGCGCCATGATTAAAATAGCACAACTCGTCGCTTTGAAACTAAACCGTTGTAACTCAAAAAAGTCGAAAAATGAGATTTTTGGGTCATTTTTTGTAAAAAAAGTCACCCTTTTAGAAAAACAACCTGTTATCTTTATAGTTCCATAAAGTTAATTTAGAGAGCAGATAAATCGTCATCGAAAGTTTGAGATCGCTCTCCTGAAAAGCTTGCTTTTTTGAGTTACCACGGTTTAGTTTCAAAGCAACGAACTGTATTGTCAAAAGGAGAATTTTTTCTTTGATCACCTTTCCAAATATTCCAAAAATAAACCCTTCCAAAATATTTTTATTCTTTTTGTATATATACGGTAAAAATATCAGTAACTGATAATTAGGTTATTAGTAATACATATATTTAATTATTTTCTTATGAACTTGACATATTAGTCGTAAAATTTTAAGTACAACTGTGGTCCCTTAAAATAATTTTGTTAACAAACGAAAAATGTTTTTCTGCTTCTATAATAGAATAGTCAAGAAAACTCATAATATGTTATTGCATACATGAAGATCGTGCAGCTTTCACCAAAAGAAGTTCTTATAAAGCGCTCTCTAGTATACTTTGTAAACGTGACTTATTATTATATGGCACAAAGCACTTGACATTGAATACTTTTGAGTGAGCTGCCATTTTGAATCATAGCTCAAGTTTATGAATTATAGTTTAAATAGATATAGGCGATAGAGCGTTCGCCTTCCAATGACGTTAACCGGGTTCGAATAACGGCGATGGCTGGTCGATACGAATTCTGCATCCGGCTTGCACCGACCACAGTGCTGATGTTAAATATCCTCAGTAGTATACGAATCATGGGTTAGAGTCCTTTACCATCAAGCTAACTGTGGGAGATTTGCGTGGTTTTCCTCTCCATGTAACGCAAATGCAGGTGAATTCCATCAAAAAAGTCCTCCCACTACTTGATCTAAGGAGTTCCCTTGTCTTCTGGATTGAGTTGGAAATTACAAGGCTACGGAGTTGAACATTAGTAGTTGTAAACCAAAAAAAATTGGTTCGGCTGTTCAACAACGGTTATAAAATAGTTAAAAAGAATGGAATAAAGAAATAAATTAATTTTATTTATAACATATCGATCAAGAGTATAATTTAAAAACTTTTCAAAAACTAAATAACATAGTTTAGTTTAAAATTTTTTTAACATAAAATTTATAATTATTGCAGCTAATAATTGTTAAGCTATGTAGATAAACCAATTTTTAATTTAGCTAGATGATTTAATGAATACCATCATAACGAAGTAAACAATTAATCACAAGATTTAAAGATATAAAAATTAAACAGAATTTTTTTAAGTTAAATAAAAAGTGCTGATACTTACTACAAATTTCATTTTTGATATTCACTGCAATGTAGAGGTTTTTCAAATATGTAATTTAATTAAAATCCGAGTTATTTATACCATGCATCTTCTTTAAACATTTCCTTATCACCATATTTCAAAACGCATTAAAAAACAATTTTCATAGGTTTATTATTTAACCATTGTAATCCCATTGATTCAATTTTCAAGCAATATCATCACGCAAGTTCGACATTCTTTTGTTGTTAAGAATTCTATTACAATGCCTGTTTGCACGAAACACATAAAACACACCTTATTTGACAATTTTATTGGAAACGTATACTTCTGCTTTCATAAAACAATTATTTTCCTTAAAATCTCAAACGATAAATAAAATTTTTGATCGAAAGAATTTCAAGGACGTATTGAAAATTCTAAGTCGTCTTAACCCTTTGATGCAGATGGGGCACCTGTGTCCCTTTGAAACATTTTTTTCCGACACTCAAATTTCTATCATAAATACATTTTGATAATTTTTAATTATGAAAAACCGTCTAATAGATGCTATCAAAAATATAGATTACGAGAATTATATATATTTGTTCTAAAATATTAAATCAAAAACAATTGCTCAATTATTTTTTTCATATATATTCAAAAAGGTATCAATGGTAGGTTGGTACTTTACGTCGCACTATAGCAGCACATTGGGCTATTTGCGATGATCCGGGAAAAATCCCCGAGGATGATCCGAAGATAGGACAATGCAATTTTGATCTTCTGCAGAGGGGATGGCTCCCCTGCTCCGGTAGCCCGGCGACCTGCACGCGAAGTAGAGAACTTTACGGTAAAACAGTTTAACGAGGTGCCGTGCACCCTCGGTTCCTATTCAGGCTGATCAAAGTGACCACACACCCGCTTACTGACCGCAGCCAGAGATGCTTGACTTCGGTGTTCTACTGGGAACCAAATTTAGGTCAAAATAAAAATATAATTTTTTGAAATTTCTTCTAAATTTTAAATATCTCGATTCATGAGTGAGGAAGGTGATTTGAAAAGTATGAAAATCTGTTTGATTGCCTAATAGAACTCGGAAATGTTCCATTTTTATTTTGCTGGTAATCGTAGAATTTTCAATTTCAGTCCCGACTTCTAAAGTAGTAACTCAATAGATTTAAAAAAAAGAAGAATTTTTTTTTTTTCGAATAACATGTTTGTGTACCAGAGGAATAGGAAAGGATTTGAAATGCGATTGTTGGATACACCGCCAAACTTCATCAAGCAATCAAACTGGTTTTTACGTGTACCACATTACTTTCCTTAAGTGAACCCTATTATTTATACTTTTCTTTTCTTCTTTTTTGGGCAATGATTATAAAAATATTTATCAAGGAGAATGATTAGTAAACAATCAGTTAAATTAAATGTACAATTAAAAGCGCAATTAAAGTACAAATATAACTAGTACAAATAAATTAAACTGCAAATAATAATAGGAAGAAATATTTTTTTTAATTGAAATTCTTGTTCAATCATTAGGGATTTTTGATAATTAATTTATATTTGGTTCCAGAATATTACACTTCGATAAGACATTAAGCCAAATGCTTAGATTGTTTTTATATCCTATATCTTTTTTTTTTTTCATTTTATATCGGTCGTTGAACAGCCGACCCAATCTTGTGTTCAGCTCCGCAGCCTTGTAATTTTGAACCAATCCAGAAGACAAGGAAACTCCTGAATCAGTACCTCCAGAGGTATTGTTTGGTTAAGCGAACATGGAGGACTTTGCGACTCGGTAGACACGGCCACCTGAAATTCCCTATCTAAGCATTGATCAGTGTGACTTAGAAGAGTCTCAGGTAACAGAGCCTCGTTCCTTTACAATGACAGCTTAACCACTTATTTAATGGGAAAATGTAAAGATCTTCATCAGGACACATTGCTTTACGATAAATGCTATATTTCTGAATAAAGAATAACTATCCTAAGATAAAAATTACTTTTCATAATGCGTCTATATCGCTAAAAATGAGCAGTTGAAAATGAGTCTGAGATAAAAGAAAGCAGAAAACAAACTTACAGACGTGGAGCAAAAGTAAAAAAATGTCTTTATAATAGATATACATTAATTAATTTAACATTAAACAAATATATGTATACATGTTTTATGAGAATAACAGTCATTCCGATACCTGTGTAATGCACCTCATGCATTCTTTGCAAGGTTATTTGTATAAATATGCTATTGTGAATGACCGAAATTGGTGGTTGTTGACGTCCACCCATCTGAGACTGTTGACAGTCACATAGTCGCTTTGGTAAATGTTCGAAATATATACTTAGTCTAAATAAGTGCAACTGGCCGGTGTACATTTCCCAGTATATCCTGCACTGATGTTTTTTTAAGGTTCATCAGTGCCACTGCCAGGTATACATTTGCCTGGTACAACCTACATCAATGATTTTTTAAGGTCAAGTGCCACTGCCCAGTATGCATTCAATAACTACTCCGAACACTGATGTTTCTCCTAATCTAACCTCAGCTGATATTAAATTTTCGAATAAATATAATAATATCAACGAATAAATTAATATCAAATCGGATATAGCAAATAATCCAGACATTCACCAAAGCGACTATGTGATTGTTGACATTCACTGGTGAAAGTCGACATTCTCTTGATTTCGGTCATTCACGGTAAGATATATATTGTAATTATATGTATTGTAGTGTATGTAACTTTTGCACTTGTTTAAATCTCGATATGACGAGTGCAATATATTACAATAAGTCATAGGACATACAATAGGACAAGTTCCAAGTCACTCAGATATTCAATTATTCAATTTTTATTACAGTTTATAAAAAGCGAATATAAAATATTTTATTCTTTTCTGATCGATCACTGTAACGGCTAACTTTTTATTTTAATACTAATGTAAACTCACTAAATCAAAAACAAAAATCCATTTATAACTTTTTATTCTTTATTTCTTACCACAAATATACTTCAGTTACATGGTTATGCTAACCCTAACAGTCTTTTTGGTGATTCTCGGTCACCAAATTATTATCAAATCTAATATTGATTATGGGGGATTGACTTTATTTTTGGCTATGTTATCTTTCGATAATTCGCCAACCTTATTAAATCTCTTTCCATGCTTCTAACTGTCAGTTGGGAACAATTCAATCACTTTCAATTTCCAATTTTTAGCGACTGCGAGAGGGGCTTTTGGGTCTCCCAGTCCTAACCGTTAAATATCAATCTTAACAGAAATTCTCGATATGAAGAGAACGATTTTTCTTGATCCCTGTAAGGGATTTTTCTTTATTTTTACATTTTGAATGTGGTCATTTTAAAGTTAATATTTACTTAATAAATCAATTTTTCTTAAATGATTTTATTTATTTCTCTAACACAAATATTTTAACATGATATCCAAGTTGAAGTATATCTCACACAACCAAAAAGTATGCTCAATAGTGCAATGATGCTGCAACTAAAAATTGGAATGATGATCACCGCCGCCACGCAACTCTCTACAACATGTCTGCTTTTGGCGGATTGTCGTTACTGGCGATCGAAATGGGTAACAGGTTGCGTAGACTAGAACTCTTTACCTATGGCAACACTTCGCATGCTTTCACCATTAGCGTGTGGGGAGCCATAGGAGAAGGAAGTACGTTAGTTTCTGTCTTGATTTTCAAATAGATTAAAAACTTTTAAGTTAGGAAACTATAAGGAACTGAAAACTACATTATACATAGTTCTAAAAAGAAAGCGTCATGGAAATTTTAAAAAAAATATTTTTTACAATTAAATGCAAAAAATATTAAGAAAAAGAAAAATATCGTAGTACATTCCTATACAACTGAAAACAGGGAAAGGTGTCAAAGGCATGGAAACGGTCTTCTCGCCAGATGGCGTATTCGATATCAATTTTATTACAATTTACACTTTTTTTTTGATAGTTTACATTTTAATATTAAAAGCATGTCAGTTTACGGATTGATCATTTATATGGTAACCATAGTTATGAATGATCCGAATAAATAAAGGCAAATCTTTGAATATACCAATCAGTTTGCAAAGGAGTAAAAAGTTAATGCAATTATAATTTAAAATAAAATTGTCAGCAATCAATTTTTTCTTCTTCTTCTAAAATGTAAAATAATTAACAAGTCGCGATGGCTCAGTGGGAAAGGCCCATTGAGAAGAACTGGTGCTTACTTATCGATGTAAGCTGGAAGCCCACCCAGCCTCAGATTGATGGGTACCAACTTGTCGGGAAGGTAAAGACGGCCAGTGCGCAATGCTAACCTTACTGCCACCATCATGGTGTTTGCCTCGAAATTGTTATACCTTAACCTCCATCCCTTTATTAGCCCACAACAGGCTATAACAATAATACTTTACTTTTTAATAATTATTAAAATAAGTCAATATTAAGTTTCGAAATCTGGCCTTGAAATACCGAGAAAATTCTTAAATTAAAGCAATTCTTTAAAGTTATTAGTAAGCCGTGATGGCTCAGGGGATGGAGCGTTCGCCTTCCAATGAGGTGGCCAGGTTCGAATCCCAACGATGGCTGGTCGATACGAATTCTGCATCCGGCTTGCACCGACCACAGTACTGACGTGAAATATCCTCAGTGGTTGACGGATCATGGATTAGGGTCCCTTTGCTGTCAGACTAACCGTGGGAGGTTCTTGTGGTCTTCCTTTTCATGTTACGCAAATGCTAGTTAATTTCATCAAAAAGTCCTCCATGAAGGCAAAATTTCTCTCAATACTTGATCCAGGAGTTCTCTTGTCTTCTGAATAGGGTTCAAAATGACAAGGCCACGGAACATTAGTAATCGTGAACCCGAAAATTGGGTCGGTTGTTCGACGACGGTTATAAAAATAAAATAAAAATTATGTATATACATATATTTTTTAAACGAAAACAAAAGTAAACGTGGATTTCAGTTTAAAAGAATTTTTTGAAAAAAACATCCTCGTCTTTATTTTTAACACTTTCTTTTACAAAAAAAAAATATGTGAATCATAAAATAAACAAGTGACCTACATCGAAAGCGTGATTAATGAATCATTAACAAACAAAAGTGATCACGCGAACTCGAATATCAAACACGATACATATTTTTTTTTCCTTTCCTACATTATGAAATCCTTGAAACAGTTGTACCTT